TGTCTTTTAGACGAAGTAGCTGTTTTATCTTAGTGTGTTATAAAAAAGATACTTTGTAATGGGCATGTATTTTTGTATATCTTTAAATAAGTATCAATAAACATTTTTTTAATTTATTTTTTCAAGGATAGTTCGGTGAAGATGTAAACTCAGTGTTGGGCTGCTGTGAAAAAGGCAGATTCTATGCTAGGTATCATTAGGAAAGAACCTGAAGATAAAAGTGCTGATTTCATAATGCCATTATACAAATCTATGGTGTGTGTACACCTCTGGTCACCTCACCTCAGAAAGAGTACAGTCGTACCTTAGTTTTCTAATTTAATCCGTTCCGGGAGTCCATTCAACTCTTGGAACAGTTTGAAAACTAAGGTGCGGCTTCCGATTGGCTGCTGGAGCTTCCTGCAGCCAATCGGAAGCTGTGTGAGCCATGCTGGACGTTCAGCTTCTGAAAATCGTTCAAAACCTGGAACTTACGGTTTTCAGTCGTCCGGGAGTCGAAATGTTCGTGTTCAAAGGCGTTCGGCTTCTGAGGTTCCACTGTATTGTAGCACTGGAGCAACTCCCCCTATGAGAGTCACAGTATTTGGGACTTCTTAGTCCAGAGAAAGAGCGAGTTAAGGCAGAAATGTCATGCGTGGCATGGGAGACAGTGCATAGAGAACAGTTTTTCACCCTTTCCCAAGACTAGAACTCGCAGACGTGCAATGAAGCTAAATGTTTGGAAAACTCAGGGAGGTCAAAGGAGCTACCGTATTTTTCGCTCTATAAGACGCACCAGACCATAAGACGCACCTAGTTTTGGGAGAAGGAAGACAGGAAAAAAAATATTCTGAATCCAAGAAGCCAGAACAGCAAGAGGGATCGCTGTGCAGTGAAAGCAGTGATCCCTCTTGCTGTTCTGGCTTCTGGGATTGCTGCACCACCTGCTTTCACTCCATAAGACGCACACACATTTCCCCTTACTTTTTAGGAGGGAAAAGGTGAGTCTTATAGAGCAAAAATACAGTACTTCTTTACACAGCGCATAGTTAAAACTGCAGCATTCACTCCCACAAGAGGCAGTGATGGCCACCAACTTGGGTGGTTTTAAAAGAGAATTTGACATATTCTGGAGGATACTGCTATCAGTGGCTTCTAGCTATGATGACGGTGCTGTGCCCCCATGCCAGCTGCTGGAAAAAGGTCAGCCATTGTGATAACAGGATCCTGGACTAGAAGGGTCATTGGCCTGATCCAGTAGGCTCTTCTTATGTACCCAGCTGCGAAGACCACACTGGGAATATATTACATTCCCAAGACCTAAGGCAGGTAGTCTAGAGTACTGTCCAGATTCTGCTGAACTCCATTGCCTATCAACCCCGGCCAGTGCCCTGGAAGATACTATGTTGGCTAGTTTTGAGTAATCATAAATTATATTAACACAAAAATCAGATATTCAGGGCTGGTGTAGTTAGTGGCTAAGATGTGAGATTTGAATCTGGCCCATAGTTCACATCTGTCAGAAGCTACCTGGAATTATTATTATTTATTGAATTTATATACCACCTTATACCCTTTGTGCATTTTCTGTGCACAAAAGCAATAGTAGCATTAAATATTCCTTTGCTGACATCTCAGTTGATGTTCTCTGCTGAAAAGGTTTTTATAGCAGCCCGCAACAGTTATTTAAATGTTATCTGTAGATTTCTAAACCTAATGGTTAAGTTCAAGACGTAGTCTTAGAAATCCTAGGTTAATAAAATGTTATAATTTGAGGTGGGGATGAGAGGGCCTTTCTTTTTCTTCTTCCAACAATCTTCTGTACAACCATGCGAGAAAATACCAAAGGTTAGACTGTCAGAATTCTAAGAAAACTTCTGAAACCAATAAAAATTGCATAGCAATTGAGACATCTCACCTTTTAATCTGAGCAGTTTATTTTTAGCCCTGTGTTTCTCATTCCTTCAGCTTGCTCTTTACATACCTATATTGGTTGGTTTTGCTGTCCTTGAAATTCATTTTCAAGACACATTCATTGTGGTTTACTATTCCAGTGCTCATCACTACTCAGATGTTTTGCATTAGGAGGTGAGAAATAAAGAGGCAAAGACACAGGTTGTGGGATAAACTAGAGCCACTTTCACACAATTGTAGAGTTGCAAGAGACCCTGACGGTCATCTAGTCCAACCCCTTTGAAATGCAGCAATCTCAACTAAAGCATCCCTGACAGATGGTCATCCCAACTTCTTCTTAGAAACCTTCAAGGAAGGAGAGTCCACCACCTCCCAAGGGAGTCCGTACTACTGTCAAACACAGGTTTCCTCAAACTTGGCCCTCCAGATGTTTTTGGCCTACACCTCCCATGATCCCTAGCTAGCAGGACCAGTGGTCAGGGACGATGGGAATTGTAGTCTCAAAACATCTGGAGGACTGAGTTTGAGGAAGCCTGGTCAAACAGATCTTACTGTCAGAAAGTTCTTTCTGATGTTTAGTTGGAATCTCCTTTCTTGTAATTTGAATCCATTGGTTTGGGTCCTACCCTCCAGAGCAGAAGAAAACAAGTTTGCTCCCTCTTCCATGTGACAGCCCTTTTATAACTTTAATACTTAAGAACTTATTAAACTTTCTGAACTGCATCAGGGGAATTACCGTATCTTTCGCTCTATAAGACGCACCAGACCATAAGACACACCTAGTTTTTGGAGGAAGAAAACAAGAAAAAAAATATTCTGAATCCCAGAAGCCAGAACAGCAAGAGGGATTGCTGCTTTCACTGCGCAGCGATCCCTCTTGCTGTTCTGGCTTCTGGGATAGCTGCACAGCCTGCATTCGCTCCATAAGTCGCACACACATTTATCCTTTTTAGGAGGGAAAAAGTGCGTCTTACAGAGCGAAAAATACGGTAGACCAGGTGTAGGAAAATGCCGAAAGCTTCTTAAGCTCCAAAGCCTGCTGGCCATGGGCTAGCCCACCCCACATAGTGTCTAGCTGGTCTTAAACCCGACTCTTTCCCCTATTCTTCACCCTTAAAGGCAGATGTTCCCCATCCATGGCCTCTCCAAGCTGCACAACCTGGAGTGAGTGACCCAGGTTCCCCTCAAAAGTGGTTCATATCGTGTACCACAAGGCCGCAAAGCCCTGTGTGCGAGTCTCTGGAATCGCTATTCGCCTGAAAGTGCCTCAGGATACTTAATATTTTTTCCACTTCTTTCCTTTCCCTCCCCACCACACAGGCCTTCTGAAACCAATAAAAATTGCATAGCAGGTATCTGCTATCCACAGGCTTTATATTGACTGTTTATTGAGAGACCTCACATTTACATTTCTTACTTTTAGTCCTGTGTTTCCCATTCCTTCTGCATTCTGTTTGCAGGTGTTGTTCCTGAAATTCATTTTCAAGGCACATTCATTGTAGTTTAAGATTCCAGTGCTCTTCACCACTCAGGTGTTTTGCAATGGCATTTTCTATGGAATTAATTTGGAGAGTAAAAAGCCAATGAATCACTGAGTGAAATAATTTCATTTTAAAGCTGGAATCATCATGTAATAAAATGGTCTCCCTGCTGCCTGGTTTTAAATGTGAAGCACTATAGAATTTTAGAGAGAGATCAGAGTTGATGCTCTTCTTGAGTGTATCTTTATGGTGCGGAGTGAGAGAGTTATATGATAACATTTAGAGGCTGCGCATGGTAATAATGAAACATTTCACTGCCCAGCGGTGCAGGTGCTAATGTGGAAAACCTTCGAGCATGTGGCTGTCATTTGTCTCTGAAGCCCATAAACCACTCAGGATTGTGAAAGAAACATCATGTAGCCTTGAACAAGATTCAGCAGCGTTTTACTTAACAGTGCAATCCTATACATGTCTACTCAGAAATAAGGCCTACTGAGTTCAATGGAGCCTGCTCTCAAGTAAGTGAGGATAGGATTACGGGGGAGGGGGGGACAAACATAAAAAGATCCTGGCCTGAGATTAATAATAATAATAATAATAATAATAATAATTTATACCCCGCCCATCTGGCTGGGTTTCCCCAGCCACTCTGGGCGGCTTCCAACAGAATATTAAAATACAATAGTCTATTAAACATTAAAAGCTTCTCTAAAAAGGGCTGCCTTCAGATGTCTGGTACAGTGGTACCTCGGGTTACATACGCTTCAGGTTACAGACTCCGCTAACCTAGAAATAGTGCTTCAGGTTAAGAACTTTGCTTCAGGATGAGAACAGAAATTGTGCTCCGGCGGCGCGGCAACAGCAGGAGGCCCCATTAGCTAAAGTGGTGCTTCAGGTTAAGAACAGTTTCAGGTTAAGTACGGACCTCCGGAACGGTTTAAGTACTTAACCCGAGGTACCACTCTAGTTGTTTTTCTCTTTGACATTTGGTGGGAGGGCGTTCCACAGGGCAGGTGCCACTACCGAGGAGGCCCTCTGCCTGGTTCCCTGTAACTTGGAGATGTTGTGTGTCTGTGTTTTAAATACAAATTCATGGAGTTCGTTGGCTATTGTTGAGTCAGTTTCTGGAAGGTGTTTATAGCAGTTATTCCCAGCTATAGGACCGATGCAGAATTGGATAATGCAGTTCAAGCACAAGGTTTATAGGGACTGAATGTGCCAAGTAATTTCACCCATCGCCTTGCATTAAATTTAAATTACGGCAAATCTGCTTTGTGAATAAAATCAAGGCCCTACTAATTTATGGAATGAAATTCAGTTCCTAATACAGACGGAGATAAGTTAGCCACCAGCTACCTGAATTCATTCCCCTTAAATATTCCTCCTTTTTCCAAAGAAGTTTGGAATTGCTGAGCTCATCATTTTGCTGGTATCTTGGTAACCATGGCTGCTATTTTGAAACTGTAGCTCCCACAGCAAAGCCAGAACTTAAAGGGTTCGTGCTGCACACACAAAAAAAGGAAAGCATCAGCTGCATTATTGCATTCCAGCATTTTTAATTACCTGTCACGAATACTGTAAAGGTAAGACTCATGCTGTTTCATCTCATGTTGCCTCTTATAACAGGACTTGCTTAAGCGCTGCTACTCTGCCAACGCGTCCTACCTGTTCCAGCAAGACAAGTTCTATGACGTCAGCTACGACACAGGGGACAAATCGATCCAGTGTAGCAGAAGAGCAGATGCGTTCAAGTTCTGGATGACCTGGAAGGCCCTGGGCACATCTGGCCTGGAGGAGAGAGTAAACAGAGCCCTTGCGTTAGCCAGGTAAAGGGACCCCTGACCGTTAGGTCCAGTTGGGACAGACCTGGGGTTGCGGCTCTCATCTCGCTTTATTGGCGTATGGGAGCCGGCGTACAGCTTCCGGGTCATGTGGCCAGCATGACTAAGCCGCTTCTGGCGAACCAGAGCAGCACACGGAAACGCCGTTTACCTTCCCGCCGGAGCGGTACTTATTTATCTACTTGCACTTTGACGTGCTTTCAAACTGCTAGGTTGGCAGGAGCAGGGACCGAGCAACGGGAGCTCACCCCGTCCGGGGGATTCGAACCCCCAACCTTCCTGATCGGCAAGTCCTAGGCTGTGTGGTATAACCCACAGCGCCACCTGCATCCAGGCGTTAGCCAGGTACTGCCTTTCAATTCTGAAGGTTTTGACACCATGTGTATAAAATCATGTCAAGTTAAGGCATGATGAGTTGTTGCAATAAGATCCATCTATTAAGCTTAACATGTATTTTTACTAAGTGCCCTAATGTAGGCTTGCTGGAAAATTCTGGACATGTATGGAAATTGGACGCCTAAAATGGCATCCACGGGGAATATTTTTCCGGGGGCTTTTCGTGGAGTGCACTGTGAGGGCTCCATCCACCCATGGCGCCACTGCTGTTGGCACTGGCTGCTGCCTCCCTCGCTTGGACATGCACGGCCGGTCTGTCGGGGAACCACTTTAGCATGTGGCAGCAGCACAGTGCCTCTTTCAGTGCCAGTACCTAGCACCCCTTTCCCAAGGCCCTGGACCCACCGTTTACATCTCCGAGCCTGCCCACCCAGCCAATAAGGTGTGAGCACTCCTGCCCGACGGTTCCCACCGTGTCCTGCAGGTAAATGGGAGGCAGTGTGGGCTCGTGTGCAAATGTGTGTGTGTGTGTGTGTGTGTGTGTGTTATTCCAGAAACTGGAAGCGAGAGTATTGCTTTCACTCTCCCTGAGTTCTGCGATCCAGGGAGGTTGGGTGGACTCTAGCCTTAGCAGAATAGGCTCTCCCCCGCCCTCCCCTCTCAGCCTGAGGCAACTCTATGGTTGCAGGAGGCTGGGTGGGGCCTTGCAGGCAGCGGTGGGAAAGGAGAGTGGATTTGAAGGGGAGCTGCAGAGACAGCAGGGCAGCAATGGCCAGAGGTGTCCACCAAGGAAAGCAGGAAGGCAGAGGGTCCAGGGTGGGTATTGGGCTTTGGGGAAACGAGGGGAACCAGTTATGGCAGCTGCATTATTACACAGAAAGGGTTAACTGTGATGGTGGGGCGGGCAGTGGGCACTGCCTCGCCTCCTCTGCCTTCTTGCAGGGGTCAGTTGTGGATTTTTCAGCGTTTTCATAAAAAAAGGTCAACAATTTTGGTGTTTTCCTTTTTGGAATACAGTGGTACCTCGGGTTACATACGCTTCAGGTTACATACGCTTCAGGTTAGAGACTCTGCTAACCCAGAAATAGTGCTTCAGGTTAAGAACTTTGCTTCAGGATGAGAACAGAAATCGTGCTCCGGCGGCGCAGCAACAGCAGGAGGCCCCATTAGCTAAAGTGGTGCTTCAGGTTACGAACAGTTTCAGGTTAAGTACGGACCTCCGGAACGAATTAAGTACTTAACCCGAGGTACCACTGTATGGCAAGCCTACCTAATGTGAAAGTATAGCTGGGAAAATGAGAGATCCTGAAACGAATTGTCACAGTACAGTTATTATAATATTAGTCTTATAAACCATGATTCTAATTATTATTATTATTCTAATTATTATTCTTATTATTGTTGTTGTTATTATTAATACCCCGCCCATCTGGCTGGTTTCCCCAGCCACTCTGGGCGGCTTCCAACAAAGTATTAAAATACAGTGGTCTATTCAACATTAAAAGCTTCCCTAAACATTCCCTAAAATGTAACCTCTTGAAAGTTTCAGAGGGCACAGAACACTATGCCTAGATTTTTTTTAGTGCTTCATTGTTTGGGGGGTTACAGGGTGGTGAGTACAGTGGTGCCTCGCAAGACGAAATTAATTCGTTCCGCAAGTCTCTTCGTCTTGCGGTTTTTTCGTCTTGCGATGCACGGTTTCCCATAGGAATGCATTGAAAATCAATTAATGCGTTCCTAGGGAAACCGCCTTCAGACCAGGTCCGGGGACAGTCTGTCCCCGGACCTCTTCTGAAGGCTGGAGGGGGGGCAAGGGCTTTTCTTCCCACCCCCAGCATTTTAAAAAACCCCGGGACAGCGGAGGACTTCTCCGCTGTCCGGGCGATCTTAAAATGCTGGCGGGCGGCATTTTAAAATTGCCCCGGGACAACGGAGGACTTCTCCGCTGTCCGGGGCGATTTAAAAGCCCCTGGGAAGGCAGGCAGGGGGGACAAAGACTTTTGCCCCCCGCCCGCCTTCAGAAGAGGTCCTGGACCTCTTCTGAAGGCGGGCGGGGGGCGAAAGTCTTTGCTCCCCCCGCCTGCCTTCAAAAGCCCTCCGAAAGACTTTCGCCCCCCCGCCTGCCTTCAGAAGGTGTTCCCTCCCCCCCGCCCGGCTTCGGAGCACCGGGAGAAGCGATCTCCCCGCAGCCCCTTGCTTCAAAAGAGGTCCGGGGGCAGCGGGGAAGAAGCGCTGCGCTTCCCGCTGCCCCCGGACCTGGGGCTGCGGGGAGAAGATCGCTTCTCCCCGCCGCCCCTTGCTTCAAAAGAGAAGACCCGCTGTCCCCAGGGCAAGCTTCGTTTTGCGAAGCAAGCCCATAGGGTAATTCGTCTTGCGAGGCAACTCGAAAACGAAAAAAACTTTCGTTTTGCGAGTTTTTCGTCTCACGAGGCGTTCGTCTTGCGGGGTACCACTGTATCAGAGTTGAGTTTAGAAGTCTGGATTTGTACTATCACCTCCATCGCACTAATCTGGTCCTGGGGTGGGTGGGAGTGTCAATTTGTGGTTTGCCTCAAGGCCCCAAAATGTATTTCCCCGGGACATTCACAGAATTACAGAAGCAATCCTGTGGTTTCTGATTTCATCTGGGAATACCCTGGTTTTCCCCCTCCAGGATTACAGCTGCAGAAATGACTCCGCTATGTAGAATGTTACCATGAACTCAGCCAGAAATGAAGTTCTATAGAGGCAAATACTCTGAAAAACAAAGCTGTTGTGGTTTTGCGGAATAGATGTCCTTGAAGCCTGCTGAACAAACCATTTGAGGCACATCCTATTACCCTGTGTATATTCAGAGTCTGTTGGTTGATTCCCCCTACCAGCAAAAGAATTGCTCATCAGGGTCACTCTCCCCAAGTTCACTTTGCTAAGAATATACAGATTAATGATCCTGTTGAGATCAATACTTCCCTTTGATGGTTAGCATTTAGCCAGTGGTGTATCTAAGCAAAATTGGCATTGTTTTCCAAAGAAGAAAATTGCCTTCATCTGATAATGACCAGCAGCGATATTCAGCACAGGAGCTAGCTCTGGAGCATTAGGCACCAAGACTTTACAGCTGAAACATCAGTTTCTCTGGGCAATAAGCCAGGTTGGTTAGCTACATGACCAACTGTACTGCATGTTTCCGGATATGTTACAGTAAGCTTCACTCTGATGCTGCAGAGATAATATTTCAAGGTCCCTGAATATAGACTTGTCTTCATTCTGGAGCTAGCCTACTGACCTTATATCTTGAGGTCAAGAATTTTTTCCATTGCCAGACTGAACTGCAAATGTTTTTGTTGGTTTTTTAAACTCGCGCTGCAGTGTGGTTCACGTCTTGCACCATCAGTGCACTTTCACCATTTATTAGCATTTCCCCCCTGCTTTCTGGGCAGTATTGGGCTCCATAGCTTCTTATTAGATGGAAGATCCAAGACTTGTGTTGAGCCATTTTCCTTACAAGACCTTAGCATTTGAGATAAGTGCGACAGAGGGCTCAGCCGATCCCTAAGGAGACTGTGAGCTTTGTAGCAGTGCTGCAGAAACCTACTTGTTAATTTGAGCTTAGAGCAATATGCTCCAAATATATGTTTGCCTCGCTGCTTGTGGCATAGCATCGCCGCTGCGCACTCCTTGGTTGTGTGCTCGCCTTGCCTTCTTTTTTTGCTCTGCACAATGTGAATAATAGCAACCTTCTGTGCAGCGTGTTTTGAGAAGGAATGAAAAAGAACATTCCAGGCAATTGAAGGTTATAATGATACTAATGCAATGATAAGCATGAGTTGAAATTATCGTTTTTGTTGCAGTGCATTCATTTAGACAGTGTTGGTGCTAGTGGCAACAGTTCACCATGGCAATCTTGGTTGCATGGATATGCGTTGAAGAGAAAGAAGTCACATGCGCAAGTCTTGTTAACAATAAACATCTTGTCAACTCCCCATGCTCTGACATAAACACTCTGTAGAGTGTTCCTTTCATTGACTCCCTGGGCAGTCTTGATAAAAATCTCTTTACTGCCGTATACATGGATGATTCTGAAAGTGCAGAACCATTCTAAACCAGGTTGTATTTCATTTTACTTATTTGCTTCAGACCTCATACTTTGCTTCTTGTGCTTGAGGGTTTGCTGTGAAAGCCAGGCCACCAAAGGACAGTAAAAGGAAAGGCTATTGTGGAAGTCCGCTTACCTGGTTCTGTGCAGCCTTTCATCAAGCTCAGGGGAAATGGTTTCTGTATGTTTACTGCGGAAAACTGCTGTGCTCAGTGCTGATAGGCTGGGGCGTGTGATGTCATAAACCCACCTCCCTGCAGGGAAGGCAGGCTGTCTGTTTCTTTAAATATTTGAAGCGCTACACGTACAAACATATTGCTCTGCTTTCCTTTGGACCACATCAGCGAGGCTGAGAGGGAGGGTCTTGTCATCTGGGCAACCAGGACCTCCATGCGTACCACACAGGGTTGCACACCGTGGAACATCACAAAAGCAACAACGTGTACATTATTCCACTGGATATTTCTTCTGTCCTCCACAAATTGAAAGTGCCGTATTTTTCTCTCCATAAGACGCACCAGACCATAAGGCGCACCTAGTTTTGGCAGGAGGAAAACAAGAAAAAAAATATTCTGAATCCCAGAAGCCAGAACAGCAAGAGGGATCTGGCTTTTGGGATAACCTCTTGCTGTTCTGGCATCTGGGATAGCCGCGCGAAGCCTCTCCCGGGCAGTGGGATGAAGGCTCCCCCAAGAGCCACGCTCCCTTTAAAGAGCTGTGTGGAGCATGTGTGCGGCTCTTGCCTCTACTTTTTTAGGAGGGGAAAAGTGCATCATAGAGCGAAAAATACGGTAGTTCAAAATGCACATTTAGTCAAATAATGTGCATGCAGTAGTTTAAAACACACACACACCCACACACCACACACAAACCAGACTCCCTGCTTGCAGCATGGGGAAAGAGCAAGACAAATGACTGACTCAGCAACTGAATCACTGCTAAGTATTTCTACCATTCATTGTGATGGCAGGAAGAAGTCCCCCGGGGGAAACTGCAGTGGCTCCTTTTCATACTATGTTTCTGCACAGCCTTTGTTTAACACTAGTCAGAGAACTGGAATACTATAATGAATTTTTATATATACAGTGGTACCTCAGGTTACATACGTTTCAGGTTACAGACGCTTCAGGTTACAGACTCCGCTAACCCAGAAATAGTGCTTCAGGTTAAGAACTTTGCTTCAGGATGAGAACAGAAATCGTGCTCTGGCGGCACGGCAGCAGCAGGAGGCCCCATTAGCTAAAGTGGTGCTTCAGGTTAAGAACAGTTTCAGGTTAAGAACGGACCTCCGGAACGAATTAAGTACTTAACCCGAGGTACCACTGTATATAAAAAATACAAAAATACAATGGAGCAGAAATGGTGCCAGTCCCCTCCCCATAAAAAAACACCAACGGTTATAGAGTTTATTGGACTCCAGTTTTGCATGGTCTTAATATTGACTGTGCCTCCTGCTTGCTTCCCCTCCGATTATTCATCAAATTTATTTTGGCCAATTATGATTGTTTGAAAATTATATTTCGTAAGCCACCCGTCTTTCCGTGGCAAACGTAGGCCCCTTTGTGGGTTGCTGCTGGCCCTACAAAAGGTGGTCAAGTGGTGTGGTAAGAGAAAGGGAATTGGGGAAGGTGAAAAGAAGGGTAGCGTAAGTTTGGAGAGAGGAATCAAGGTGACATCGCCTAGTGCAGGAGGGAGATACAGAACTGGCCAGAGTGGGATGGAATACCCAGCTAGGCTATTCTTGGTCCTATAGGCAGTAAATCTACTTAGGTGTTAAGAGTTACTTCAAAGAAGCGGGGCGGGATGGGGGGGAGAGGCTGAGTCAGAGGCCCTATATAGGCAATTAGACATAGTGTCTGTTAGGCCTGTTACCAAGCAATATTCCTGCTATTAAGCCTTAGCTAGAATACGAACACAACCATTCAGGAACAGTTGGCTGATATGATTAATTCTTGTTAGAAGAGATTGTTCTTTACCCACCTTTGGCGGAAATGCATCTCCCTGGAAATGCTCTGAATGTAGCCATCATAGGAATTTCGGTTTTTGTTTGTGACTCTTGTTCTTTGGCTAATGTGGGGCTGTATTTTGATTTAGAACAAACAAAAAACAAAAACAAAAAACAGTTTCTGCCATGATGTGAAGAACAGACCACATACTGGGGCCATCCATTTTTAACATACTTTGCTTCTTGGGTTACCCAAAGCAATAAATTATGATAAAATAATTATAACACACACACACACACACACACACACACACACACACATTTTTAGCTCTTCTCCCCAGGTTGAGATCAGTTGGGGTATATGCAGGTAATAGTTAGCAGTTTGGGATGAGCAATTTTGGGGTGGGGTGAGACACAAAGCAGCAGAAAATGGAATATAGGTCTTGTGAATAAATAGGTTGTTTTCATTTATTACATGTTAACCAAATAAACATCTTGTTAATACTAAAAGGGAAATTGCCAGGTGCTTGCCCATCACTGGAGCGCCTTCGCAGTCATTTGTTGCAACACTGAATGCCAGAAGAATATGATAGAATACTCCCTGCACCCTTTCTCTTCTTTCTTCTTAAATAAAATACACCTTCTCATGACTCTAGATTTTGGGTACCTTGGGATTTAATATTAAGTTATTCTGCAGAAACGTTCAGTCACCATTGCATCATTTTGAGTTCCATCGCGAAGGATCAATAAGAAGGGCCCACCAATATTCCATTTGCAAGCCCCACCAAGCATACAGTAGTCATTTTAGGCAAATAAATTCTCTCTACATCTTGGACCAGTTTTGCTTTGGTATGGTGAGAATTGGAGAATTAGTTCTGTGTCTTTCAGCCCAAAGCAAATGTATATTCTTTAGATATGCGTGTATACATTGAGCAAGGCATAGTAAATTTTGTAGCTAAGGATCAGGCTTAGTAATTTATACCAACCGCGTGTTTAACAATGCATTTCATATTCAGTAATGTAGGCAGTTGACAGTTAACTTTAAACTCAAAAGTTAACTTAAAACTCAAAAGTTAGTGTATTCATGTATATCTTTATGCTTAATTGCAGATACCTAGTGGATGAAATTAAGAAGAGAGAAGGATTCCAGCTGCTGTTGGAGGTTTGTGCCAAGTGCTATACAAATAATGTGTATGTCCAATCATTTTGAAACTGGTGGTGCAAAGCTAGTTGAAGCAGGCAGTATTTATTATTATTACAATGGTTGTTTTTGTTATTTATTGAATTCATATTTCAAAATCATCATCCTGATTGCTTCCGGGAGAGCAGAATGTAAGTTCTACAGCTAAATGAGCTGCTGTCCGAGAACTAAAAAAACCCAAAACAAAACTTTAACAACATAAACTGACAGTGTGAATTCTTCTTGAATGAATAGGCCCAGATTGCTTGCTCCATAAGGAACAAGCTTTACTTAGTATGGCAGGAAGTCTGAGTCTAAATGACCCAGTGGCTTATCTGTGGCTAGCAAAATAGTCAGGCGATAGGGCTCTCCCTTCTTCTCCCTGGAAACTAAATTCAGTATTCAGCAAAAGCAAGTCTATGCATAGCATACCTGGGCCCAGTTCGTGCTAGAGGAAAAGCTTAACTTCATCTCATTTCATAGCAGCAGGTGGCATGCTTGCTGATCTCTTCCTGCTGACAACTGTATTCTCCTTGATGATTAAACCATATTTAATACATTCTTTGAAGGAAGGCAGAAAATGATATTATGAAAAGAACCAGTGCCCTTTCATGAAAGAATTTAGCACAGCTGGTAGTTTCTACCCACTTGGGAGGAAGATTAGAACTGTAATTGAGGTAGTGTTCACACTGGGGGGAAATGACAATGCGCTGTAGATACTGCCCTCCCTCGCCCATTATGGTCTCTCTCTCTCTCTCTCCCTCCCCGCCCCCGCTAACTTTTATTAATCGGAAGTGTTCAGAAAGAACTGGCTATGTGCGGGAGGAAATGTGCTGCAGCTGCCATTGTTCCTTTACAAAATATTTCCAGCCAAAATGTTGAAAGAGGACTCGGCTAGACTGGTGAAGAAAAAGCAAATTATATGCGTTGTTTGTGCAATATAACGTTGTGCCTGCAGATGGCGATGTGGAGTTCCCCTTTTCTCTACCTGGTTTCCCTGTTTAAATTTACAACGCTTTAAACTGAAATGCTTCTTTGATGTGTCTAGATCCAGCCAGAGAGGGGAATTTCATTCTTTAATTCTTGTGTGGGTGGGTGGGTTTTTTAGTACATGCATGTATACACACACATTACTTGAAAGAATGGAATCCCACGCTGCAATTACGGGTGAATGAAAGACCTGGAATAAATAAAAGGTCAACCTTTGTGTTGCTATAAAGAAATATTAAATGAGATTGGCAGTTAATGACATTATTAAGATTGGCAGGCCAGGCTGATTATTAAGATCATGGGTGAGGTGGAATTTGCCCTCTTCCTATATTGACTCTTGTATATGTACAAAATGAGTAGATTTGTCAACTTTCTTCGTACGCAACTTGAAAACTTTAAATTGTTTCTCTCCTTTAGCCGGAGTATGCAAATATTTGCTTCTGGTACATTCCACCTAGTCTGAGAAACATGGAAAAGGGGCAGGAGTTCTGGGAGAAGCTCAATCGTGTGAGTACCGTATTTTGTTCATGGGATTTCTGATACTGTGCTTTAAGCAGTTGCGTGCAGCACTAGTTTTCTAGAGAAAGAGGTTCCGGAACTCTCCATGAACACCTCCCTGTTCTCTTATAATGGCAATGTCGCCCACCTGAGAGGTGCCGGAACTGAGTTCCGGCGAGTTCCAGCTGCAAGAAGAAGAGTTTGGATTTGATATCCCACTTTATCACTACCCGAAGGAGTCTCAAAGCGGCTAACATTCTCCTTTCCCTTCCTCCCCCACAACAAACACTCTGTGAGGTGAGTGAGGCTGAGAGACTTCAGAGAAGTGTGACTAGCCCAAGGTCACCCAGCAGCTGCATGTGATGTGGAGGAGCGGGGAAGTGAACCCGGTTCACCAGATTACGAGTCTATCGCTCTTAACCACTCAGCAGGTGGTGCTTTTCCCAGTATGCAGTGTGTTGATAATAACTTTATCTGTTGGATTTCTGCTTGTCCTCTAGCTCTTAAAGGCATAGGAGCCCTATCAGGAGGGAAGAAGTTGGCAATCACAGTTCTGTACACTGGTTGAGGATTTATGTTCTTGATACGCATTGGAATAAAAGTGAAAGCTGCTTTTGCCACGTGATCACAAGCCTGGTTCACCTTCAGAGTGTTATTTTGAACCTAGATAGGTATCTGCAGGATTCTAAAGTTTGCCGCGATCTCAGTTTAGACAAGGCTAATTAAGTTTCCCCCTTAATATAATAGATGCAGACATTATACAAGCCTTCCGCTTGCTATCAAAGCTGCTAACAGATGGCAGACCTGAGCGAAGATGAACAACTGTGCCTGCATCCATTGTCTAGACAGAGCATTCATTACCTGTTTTAGACATTTAACATTGTCCTTGGAACTTGCTCTGCATTATCAATGGATAATACGAGGGGGTGGCGGGGGAAAGCTTAAGTCTGAAATCCCAGCCCCACTTACCTGTGAGTAAGCTCCATTAAATTCAATAGGACTTGACTTATTAGTAAGCATGGTTAGGTGGTACAGCCTGTAATTGTAATTAGAAATCAGAATGGGTTAGAATTCATAGCAAAGGGTTTTTTTGGTAGCCTTTATAAATGATGGAAAATGCCTGAGCTTGAGGAAAGGAGGGGGGACATTTAGCAATTGGTTCTTTTGATAAAAGGTGTTGAACATCAAGTTAATTGAAGGAAAAAATTTGCAATAAGCAGGATACGGAATAGCTTATACTGCTTACTGTGCCTTGTTTCAGCCACCCCTCTTCCTGCCATCTTTAATATTTGCTGTATAAAAGGTAAAGGGACCCCTGACCATTAGGTCCAGTCGTGACCGACTCTGGGGTTGCAGCACTCATCTAGCTTTATTGGCCGAGGGAGCCGGCGTACTGCTTCCGGGTCATGTGGCCAGCATGACTAAGCCGCTTCTGGCGAACCAGAGCAGCGCATGGAAACACCGTTTACCTTTCCACCGGAGCGGTGCCTATTTATCTACTTGCACTTTGACGTGCTTTTAAACTGCTAGGTTGGCAGGAGCAGGGACTGAGCAACGGGAGCTCACCCCGTCGCGGGGATTCAAACCGCCGACCTTCTGATCGGCAAGTCCTAGGCTCTATGGTTTAACCCACAGCGCCACCCGCGTCCCTCTTGTAATGCATATATCGTATTTATTTTCTTATAATGTATATTAAATCTGTTTCCTGTACACAGCACCACCCGCGTCCCTATTTGCTATATAAGCACTTGAATATAAAGCCAAAGTGGAAGGAGAACAACGTAGCTGAAATTCAACAGCAGAGCACATGTGTAGTTAATTCTGGTCCTGTATTACTGGATATTAGATTCTGCTGTCGCTGGATTAATCTCTCATTATCACTGACTGTGGGTCATGCTGGCTAGGACAGGTGGGAGTGGATATCACAACAACAGCTTGAAGGACTAAAGATGTAAAAGGAATCCATTGAGAATGGATTAGAAAGTGAATTTCCTTCAGGCTGTCCGTTCAACCCCTGTTGCAGCATGGAAAGCTTTTGAATGTAGGTCTGTACAATTAAGGTTACTTTTTACCATGAACACATTATGTGTAAATTGATACATAAATGGCTTTGCAATATACATTATTTACATATTAATTTATGTGTATAGGTGCTGCTCTGCTGTTCTTGTTTCTGAAGTGTTATTTAAAGGCAACCTTTATACACTAATACTCCAATCCTAGCCATGTCTACTCAGAAGCAAATCCTATTGAATTCAGTGAGACATGCACCTAGGTAAATGGGATTAGGACTTCAGACTTAATCTACTACCTGTCCTAAAGTTTTCTTAAAAGGATGGAATGCATTGCTTATCATTGTTCTTTTCACATGGAAAGAAGTGATCTCTGTTGCTGCTTGTGGATTTTATCTGTACTCCTCAATTAAAGTCAAAGTGGGGAGAACCAACTGGATTTGACTGCCTGTTTTTTTGGCTACCCTGAGGCCAAGATGGATGAGCCTCTTCCCTGTCTCCCTCTTGATATCATACAGAGCAAATCTGAACAATTTGCATCTTCACATTTAACTTAAACTGGCTGTCTCAGGTTGATTCAAAAGGCCCCAATAATTTTATGAATGTCTAATCCCAGTAGATGGCTCGGTTCCCTTAAAAGATGTTAAGTGCTTAAAGCAGTGATTCATACTCTTGGGCTCAGCGTGTCTATTATATATGTTGGTTTACCTTATGAAATAAATATGGTGACTATGATAAAGCCTAGATGTAATCAGTATTTGCCCTTAAGAGCTTATGCCACTTGTAATTAGCTGTGAGCAATTAGATAACTGCAATCGTGAATCCCTTTGCTAAACAGGGCTCATTGAATAAGCGTGATTATGCAGGTGTAAGAAACAAGGAAAACATTTCTGTCTGTGCAAAAATATAACCTAGCAAATGGAAACCCAGTGTTACAAGCAGCTAGCAGTTTATAGCTCTGACAATAATTTTTGCTAACCTTATGATGAAAACTACAGTGGTGCCTCGCAAGACGAAATTAATTCGTTCCGCAAGTCTCTTCGTCTTGCGGTTTTTTCGTCTTGCGATGCACGGTTTCCCATAGGAATGCATTGAAAATCAATTAATGCGTTCCTAGGGAAACCGCCTTCAGACCAGACTGTCCCCGGACCTCTTCTGAAGGCTGGGGGGGGGGACAAGGGCTTTTCTTCCCACCCCCAGCATTTTAAAAAACCCTGGGACAGCGGAGGACTTCTCCGCTGTCCGGGGCGATCTTCAAATGCTGGCGGGCAGCATTTTAAAATCGCCCCGGACAGCGGAGGACTTCTCCGCTGTCCGGGGCGATTTAAAAGCCCCTGGGAAGGCAGGCAGGGGGGACAAAGACTTTCGCCCCCTGCCCGCCTTCAGAAGGTGTTCCCGCCCCCCCCCCGCCCCGCTTCGGAACAGCGTTCCGAAGTGGGGCGGCTGGGGCAGGTGTCCCCGCCCCCCCTCCCCGCTTCGGAACAGCGTTCCGAAGTGGGGCGGCTGGGGCAGGTGTCCCCGCCCCCCCGCCCCGCTTTGGAACAGCGTTCTGAAGTGGGGCGGCTGGGGCAGGTGTTCCCGCCCCCCCCCCTTCGGAACAGCGTTTTAAAATGCTGGGGGTCGGGAGCGAAGCGCTCCCGACCCCCAGCATTTTAAAACCTTCCTGGGACACGGGAGATTTTAAAATGCTGGGGGTCGGCAGCGCTTCGCTCCCGACCCCCAGCATTTTAAAATCTCCCCGGGACAGAGACTTCTCTGCTGTCCCTTGGAGATTTTAAAATGCTGGGGGTCGGCAGCGAACGCTTCGCTCCCGCCCCCAGCATTTTAAGATCGCCCGGGGCAGGCGGGGGGAAGGCAGGCGGGGGGGGGGGAGCAAAGACTTTTGCCCCCCGCCGGCCTTCAGAAGAGGTCCTCTTCTGAAGGCCGGCTGTGGGCGAAAGTCTTTGCTCCCGACTGCCAGCATTTCCCTATGGGCTTTCGTCTTGCGATGCAAGCCCATAGGGAAATTCGTCTTGCGAAGCGCCTCCAAAACAGAAAACCCTTTCGTCTTGCGGGTTTTCCATCTTGCGAGGCATTCGTCTTGCGGGTTACCACTGTACTGTTGAACTGAAACTTCTGTAGCTTTGTAGATAGTGAGATAAACCTTGAGCTGCTTTCGCTAGCACTGTACATGCCCCCTGGTGGAATTTTCGCTTCTTCTCACTTACAAGAATTATGCAATTAAACACAACAGGAAGGGAAGTTTGTGACCTATAGAGAGTTATAAAGATGGTGTTTTGCTCCGTGGATCTGGGGCTGAAATTCAAACATTACTTTCTTTCATCCGTGAAATGCTATCAATTTGAAATACGTGCTTTCATACACTTTACGAAGACAAATCCTGCACAATGGAGATGGATTGTAGAAGTGACTCAGCCCCTTATAAATTGCGATTAGAGTGTGTGACCCGTTCCTGTCTTTGGCCTGAAGACCAGTGTTTTGTGAAATATACTGTGTGTTGAGTTATTTCAGTACAGTGGTACCTCGGGTTAAGTACTTAATTCGTCCCGGAGGTCCGTATTTAACCTGAAACTGTTCTTAACCTGAAGCACCACTTTAGCTAATGGGGCGTCCTGCTGCTGCCGCGACGCCGAAGCACAATTTCTGTTCTCATCCTGAAGCAAAGTTCTTAACCTGAAGCACTATTTCTGGGTTAGCGGAGTCTGTAACCTGAAGCATATGTAACCTGAGGTACCACTGTACAGTGGAACTTTGTGTTACATACATCCCTCCTTACAAATGCTTCGGGTTATGAGCTCCGCTAACCCGGAAGTAGATGCTCCTGGTTGCGAACTTTGCCCCGGGATGCGAGCGGAAGTTGTGCGCTGGCGGCGCGGCAGCAGCAGCGGGAGGCGCCATTAGTGAAAGCTCGCCTCATGTTAAGAACGGTTTCAGGTTACAAACGGACCTTCGGAAAGAATTAAGTTCATAACCGGAGGTACCACTGTACAGATCTAG